CATAAATGTATGGATAGTAAATGTATCTCCAAGTCAACTTCCCTTTAGTCAAATTCTACAAGTTCCCGCAGGTACTCCATTTCCACTAATGGAAGGGGAAGTGAATCAGAAGAGGATCAAGGTAGGGAATTGGATGATGAAAAGAGTCATTACTTGGGTGTTGTGAAGCCTTTCTGAGGAAGAATTCATGAGATTTGGTTGCTAATTCTGTCTTGAGAGGTAAAGGAGAGGAAATCTTATGTGAGAAAGATCAATGAGATTAGGAACTTTTCCCAATTGTCCCTTCAAAATTTAAAGGCTATACCTCCTTACCTTCTCAGAGTTCTATTCTACCTTCAAAAGTTGTATTCAGTTGGAATATCTACATATCTATGTAAATTAAGGTTAATGAAGATGGTGATACTGTTGGAAGTCTCTTTCAAAGTGTGGAATCTAGTGATAATTCTCTTTCTTTTTTGTTCTCCAGGCTGAAAACACAACTCTTTTCTTAGACCTCAGTTTTCACAAGAAGGAGTCAGATTAAGATCCTATTTTATACTTACCTGGCAGGGGAGATACCATGATCACGAAGGTGGTTTTCCCAGGGCAAGTTTTATCCATTGCACTCCGGATGTGCTGACTCCTGTGATTTCCCTAAATGTGGGAAACCTGACTGCATAATTTGTGGTAGTGAGGGACATTTATTTATTTTCATGGCCCATGTTTCTCTGATTGTTACTTATAGGTATTGTACAGTAAGTCCTTGCATGAGGAATAACTCATTCTGAGGGAGTGGCTCAAGTGGTAGAGTGCCTAGCTAGGAATAAATCATGGCTTTATTCACTGGATGAGGCAATTAGATTTGCATCTTCTAGTATTAGATTTTTTTAAAATTTTTTGGTGGCACTTAAGTTTGAACTCGGGGTTTCATGCTTGCTAGTAGTTAGATTTTTGAAATAAGCAAGCCACTTTGTATTTCTTGAGATTTTGAATATCTCTTTCACAAAGAAATGTTTTTTTTTTGGTTTTTTTTTTTTGCATTTACAGGAGTTTGAACTCACACTTACTAGTCAGTCAGGCACTCAACCACAGGAGCCATGCCTGCCTCCAGCCCAAGAAATTTCTTCTTGAGACTCCAACCCTAGTGATAGGAAAAGGCATCTCCTTCAAAGGCAATTTTAGCTTTGGCCAGGATTTTGGTGTGTTCTTGAAGAGATTTATTTTTGGCAACAAATTGAATCTAATTTATGAGCTCTGGGACTTTGGGCAAACCACTGAAACTTTCTCTTTCTCTGTTCCTCTCTTAAACAGGAATGACAGTTGCTATGTTAGAAGGGTGTTTTCTACATTAAATACCAAGGGTATTGAAAAAGTTTAGCCAAATATCTGGCAGGTAGTATTTGCCTCATATATATTATTTCTCACCATCACCTTGAAACCAGAATGTTTCACAGGACTCTGACATACTCTACTCATGAAGGTCTGAACCTACAGCTTTTGAGTCTCTCTTTTCTGCCCCACCCAGTCCTCATACACTTCCTCTCCTTTCTTTCTTTCTACCCAACATCAACTTGCCAATCAGAGGAATGATTCTCTCCCTACTCAAATTTATGGCTGGACCTAGGCCTCACCTGATGTAGTGCCCTACCCATTATCCACAGTGAAGGAAATGGTCTTTAGGCTTGGCCAGTGATTATCTTACCCAGAATTACTGAGGAAAATGTCTTCCTTTCCATTGGGATTGGAAAGCTAGTAAGATTTGAGTAGGCAGTTAGTAGCCACCTCAAGGGGAAACTATCTGAGAATGGGGCAGAGAAAGTCAGCTTCACGATTAAATAAGTTTTGTTTTTTGATAAATACATTTATGAAACTACAATGTCCCTGGATTTCCTAGTTTTATGAGTCAAAAAATGCCCTTTGATATTCAAGCTAATATTAAATTGGTCAAGAAACATTTGAAACTAAAAGAATGGCTCCTTCTATACTTCTTTTCTCTTTCCCTTCGTTCACATGGTAGGTTTGGACTGTGTTTGGTCCTTTCTGGCAATAAGAGATTTTCAAAGTAAAGACATACACTTAAAAGGCAGTGGGCTGTTATATTTAATGAGCCATGCAGTTCAATGTTTGGGATTTCTAGAAAATAGTTCAATGAGTTTCCTTAGTAGTTTTAGTATAGATATGACCTTAAAACTAAAATCATTGGAGAAATGTCTGAAAGGCACTCAGAATGCAGCTGTTTAAGCCACAATTTTAAGAGATTTATGTTCATGGGTAAATATAGCTGAGGTTAGAAATATAGTTGTTTAAGCCACAATTTTAAGAGATTTATGTTCATGGGTGAATATAGCCTTGGGTTACTTGATCCCAAGGCTGTTGTGTTGTCACGATCGATGTTCCACCAGGGCTTGAGACCAAGCCTCCAACACATAGGCATGTAGGAAACATTTAAAATCAAGCCAAAGCAGGTATCTACTTCTCCATCTACTATACACATGATGCACAACTTTGATTCCCTTGGGGTTGAACTTAGGTGTCATGATTAAGGTGGCTAATGTCAGATCGATGCTGGACCATTAAAGAAAGTCATACCTTTGTCTCACTCAGCCAAATGCTGAGACTCAGGCTTCTTCTTAACTAAAAATTTCAAATGAACCTTTAACACTCAGTGCATTCTGATGAGTGGAAATCACATGATCTAAAAATTAGAAAACCTGGATACTATCTGAGTCATTTATTCTATCATGATCATTTGTCCTTTGGCTCTTAATGAAATTTTTCTGAGCCTCAATTTGCTCATCTGTCCAATAGGGCTGGCCATACTCACCAGGACAACACTATAGGATTGTCTGGAAGATGGAAATGACATAGTGGATAAGAAATGCATTTGATAAATTATGGTATCTTATATGAGGTTATACTAACCACAAAACAACACTGAAATAGTCATCATTATTCCTGAAAAGAATAGATTATATGTGAATGTCATACTTATCCAAATCTATACAACTTCATTGCTGTGCATTTCACAATAAATTAACCTTCCATTAATTCAGTCAAAGAAACTTGCTAAGTCTTTTTACTTTTTAAATACTTTTCAATATTTTTAGGGTTATAGAAAAAAATGAATGAAAATTACAGAATTCCCATACATTTATTCATCTTTCCATTCCTAATTTCCCCTGTTATTAACTTAATCTTGCACGAGTGTGGTACATTTGTTACAGTTGATGAGTCAATATTGATACATAGTTGATAAATGCCATAGTTTATATTAGGGGTCACTCTTTGTGTTGTACATTCTATGGGTTTTGGCAAATGTGTGATGACATTTTATCTTATCACTATAGCATCCACCCTTACAGATTAGCTTTTGTCACTTAGTAATATGCACTGAGGTGTCTTCATGTCTTTTTGTGGCTTGATAGCTCATTTTTTATCCCTTAATTTCCATTATCTGAATACACTACAGTTTGTGTATCTATTCACCTGCTGAATTACATATTGGTTGCTTCCAAGATTGGGCAATTCTGAATAAGGTAGCTATACACATTTGTATGCAGGTTTTTATATGGACATGTTTTCAGCTCATTTGGGCAAATACTTAGGAGTGTGATTGGTGGATCATAGGGTAAGAATATGTTTAGTTTTGTAATAAACTATAGTGACTGTACCATTTTGTATTCCCACTAGCAATAAATTAGAGTTCCTGTTTTTCCACATCCTTATCAATATTGATGTTGTCGGTGTTTTAGATGTTGGTCATTTGGATAGGGTGTGTAATGGTATGTCATTGTTTTTTTTTTAATTTTTTTGCAGTACTGGGGCTTGAACTCAGGGCCTATACCTTAAGCAACTCCACCAGTGAAGGGTTTTTTTTGAGACAGGGTCTCATAAACTATTTGCCTGGGCTGGCTTCAAACTGAAATACTGATCTCTGCCTCCTGAGTAGCTAGGATTACAGGCATGAGCCACTGGTACCCAGCATCATTGTTTTAATTTGCAATTCCCTAATGACATCTGAAGTTGATCATCTTTTCCTAGGTCTACCTGTCATCTGTCTATCTTCTTTGATGAAGTGCCTGTTCAGATCTTTTGCTCATTTGTTGAATGGGTTGTTTATTCTCCTACTGTTGAGTTTTAAGATTTCTTTGTATATTTTAGATACCAGTCCTTTATTTGATGTGTGTTTTGCAAAGCTTTTCTTCCAGTTTGTGGCTTGTCTTTGCATTCTCTTAATATTGCTTATTTTTAATTATTTAACCTTAACATCATGGTCCAACTATTTTTATATACTCATGACATTCAATTTTGCTTAAAATTTTTAAGTACATTTTTTTAAATCCAATTTTTCCTTAAAAAGGTTGAAAAAAATCCCAATGCTCCATTCCTATTTACCATCAAGTCCTTTTGTGGTCAGTTGCATTTGTAGAATGGATCAAGTCATCAAGCCCCAACAAGGTTCAACCTCAAAACTCATGTTCTTAACCGGGATCATCACTGCAATCATCTGAGAGGTGGTTTGTGGCCTGTCCAAGTTGGCTGTGTCTGGCTGAGCTGATCAGAGTGGCGGACATTTTTGCTGACTAGAGTCATGCTATCTTTGCCAGTTTGCGGGAATAGACACAGACACTGATTGGGTCATGCTGAAGACATTCCTGTCTTATGAAGCAAGACTGTTTGTATTTTAGGTTTGCCAGGACTAATGAATTAAAACGTTTGGACTCTCCACAACTTGCAGTTTATCAATGCCTCTGACAGGAGGAGGGTTTTCTTTTGCTTTTGCTTTTTCTAGAAACATGACAACATCCTGGCTGTTGCAGAGGCAAGGAAAGGAGAGAGGGGTTGTGGAGGGAAGCGGAAAAGGGAAGTCCCATGGGACACAGGGGTCTAGGGCAGAGCAGGTAGCAGTGTGCAGCCCTGACAGCTGTCTCTTCTCCTCAGCTTGTCAGTGGCTGCTATGCAGCAGGTGCAGCCTGGTCTCTCGCTGAGTCTTTACTACACAAAGGCAACGACTGGCCAAGGCAGAGGCTGGCCCTGGATTACACAAGTGCAGACACTCAACTAAGTGAGGTAAGGCAACAGGTGTGAAAACCCAACTAAGCGCTCGGAGCACCGGCAAGTTAACCAAAGCTCTGTTACAGCTTCAGCCGAGACAAGCAATCGGTGGCCTGTTTCCTCAGGCGGTGTGATGAAAAGGCAAGTTGGTTTAGGGGATCCATTCCATGGTCGATGCTGTGTGGATTTCACAATCCACCCAACCTTGACACCATCCTTTCTGAGGCAGGCAGATGTTTTCCATTGTGCTGAGGGGAGGGGTCGTAATTAACTGTGTCTATCAGATTCATTTCCCATAGTTGGAAACTGTGATAGAGATCTGTTTACAAATTCCTGGAGGCAGATTTCTACCTTTTGTGTTTTATTTATTGGTTTTGGAAAGTGTCGGGAGATTTACCTAAAGAGAAGTAAGCTTTCCAACCTTGATGTTATAATAAGGTGGTTTGGGGATTGTACAAAGCATCCAATAAGACTTTTCCTTTTAGCTATAACTTTTGGGGAACTTGATTGGTCATTTTGTTAGATTTGAGACAGTCTGATATTTCTCCAGGAACAGGTGGCTAATGATAACACTTAATTCTGAGCAGAAGAAGCTACACTAAAATGTGTCAGAGTTAAGAAAAAAAATTCTATGACAAGTAATAGCAAGTTTTCTTAAATGCGTCAGGTCAGCATTTGTTTTGTAACTTAGAATTACATGACATTGAGAGTAGAGTTCTTAAATGGTTTGTTGCTATTTGGAGTGTTAAATGAATGGCTCAACATGATCCAAACTGGGTGGTAAACAGTTGCTGTTTTTTCTCCAAAGCTACACTGGATGTTTAATATAAGCCTCTTCTCTTTTTACATGAAAGATGATTCCAAATATATGTATATCTAAATATACATGCATATATATGCATTGACTTTGGCTGTGTAAGTAATTATGAAAACAAAATTCAGTGTTCTGGATACTATTTTTAGTAAGTTATGGGAAAGGGTCAAAAACCTTGCTATGAGAAAATGTCCTGTTACAGCAGTTCCCAGAATCTTGCTAAGGACAGCTAAAGAGAGATTATTTATATTTTGCCATTTTTAGAGACATTTTCCTTAAAACATCAGCCGTGTTTTTTTTTTTTTTTGTCTACATGAGATGGAGAATAGATGGTTTAAGGGAAGCAGGACCAAAAATAGAAAAGTTAAATAACAAAGATGTCATATATTTATTATAAAATCTTTTCCTGGTCCCATTGAACATCAAATTATCAAATATCTTGGTGAAAGTGTGTTTGGACTAAATCTTCTTATGACACAAAAACATTTGTGCATTTTTGTCTCCCTATCTTATGTAGATGGTTTCCCACTCATTCTAAGTTTATGAATTGAATGATAATTTAGTAAGTGGGATAGAACACCCATAGAATGTTTTACAGTTTTGTATTTTGCTTGTATCATATACTATTAAGAGCTGAAACTTTAGGTAGAAGTGTTGCAGGTAGTTATCAGATATTAAAGCTCATGATAGTCATAATACAAATGTAGGATACTCTTGTCTTCTGAATTCTCTAAACAACTACATTACATTCATTCTTACTACTTCTGAATCAAGCATTCAGATTTAGTTTAGGCTTTTGAGCATGAAAAAGTGGCCTAATCTGAAGCTGTCTTATACCCTATTAAGATTATATCTCTTCTTTATCACCCTCAATTAAAAATGAAACACTGTGTGTGACCTTGAAAACTAGGATTGATCTCCTCAGTGTGAATGGATACTGAAAACTTGAGGTAGATAGAGACTGTTGTCACATTTCATTCATTCTAGATGTAGACTGCCAAAGTAATTTTTGTAAAAGCCAGAAAAGAAATTAAACAATTAAAAATACTTTTGATGTACAAAAAGAAAACTTGCTAACTTTCCTTTCTAATTTCTGAGGGCCCCTGAGTGTTCTGAGAATGATATTGCATAAAATTGGGTAAAAAAGGTCTTTCTGTTGTCCTTGCAGCTGGAAGACCCAGGAGAAGACCGGGCCTCAGGTGCCCACATGATCAGCACAGCCAGTGTACCTGCGGATAAGCCAGTACGCATTGCCTTTAGCCTCAATGATGCCTCAGGTACACTCTGATTCGGGGAAAGGCATACTTTCCTCACTGCCTTGCCTTGCCTTCACTGTCTTTTCTGACTTCACAGAAAATGTTTAAGCTTGCATGTTTTTGTGAGCTGATGACAAAGTGTGTGATATTTCATCATGCATTATTAGATTGTGGCTTCCAGAAATGCTTCTTTTCCCACCTTGATTTGGCTGTTTTAGTTCATTGCTTTTTTTTTTTTTCTTTTCTCATTTTAGACTTCTTTTAGGATAAGATTCATAGAGGTATAACAATTTCTAAGGATAGCAAAGTGTGTCATTGTTAAAACTGCATGAGGAAACATTTATTAAGAGCTGGCAGTTGGTTAGATGATATAAAAATATCCCTGTCCCAGTTCCAGCCACATTTGTTGAAACCTCAGTTAGGGTTGCTGGTTTTCTCACTGGTGCTCCCACACTTCCGGCTAAATAAACATTTGGCTGGAGTGATGAATGGGGCAGGTGAAGCTGGGCTTCTTGAAATAGTAAGGTCCGAGGTGAGGCTGCCATACTTAGAGCCCTTCGTCACAGCTCCCCTCAATGACCTCTTAACACACATATTGAATTGCCACCTTTGAACAAGGGACCTCATGTGGTGGGAGGTCACAGTGGCCAGGAAAGCAGGGCTTGGATTTCTTCCACTGGCCATTGCTCTTAGTTTAATATCATCTGTTAAAATCACATGCTCAAACAGCATTACCACTTAAACCTCAGATCTTTTTTGAGGTCTCTCTCTCTCTCTCCTCTCTCCCCGCAATGCCCAAGTAGGAGTGAGGCTTTAAAATTGATGATTAGGAAGAGAAAAGATCATTTCAAAATAATGTGAAGTAAGGATATGGGCTCTGTGACTTGTGACATGACACAGCCAATGCAGGTTTGGAGTTACTATACCTGTTGATAATGTAGTTGACATAGATACCCTGAAGTTTCCCAGACTGTGTGGCCACCAACGAAGGGTATGTTCCAGAGCAGAAAAAGGTGAAGCCTTGGTTCTTCATGTACTATTTTTCCAACAATCTTCCCAAGATCTGTTGTACTGTCTTCCCACTTGTAGGTTACTCTGTAAGACAATGGTAAGGAGATATCCTCCCAACAGGCAAATCAGTCTACCCCAACCTAAAAATGATAGCCACCATATCTGCCCTTCTTTTTTGCATTAGGAATTAACCTATATTATTTCTGATCATTAAAATAACCATGCCATTACCTATTCATAGAGAAAAATTGAGGCAGAGAGATCACACTGTTAGTAAGTGGTAGCGTTATTCTCTGAACTCAGGTCCTTAGACGTGGCAGTCCAAACTTTCTCAGTTATTCTGTTACTTCTCTAAAAGGAAAAAGAACACCCCTTCCAGCTTTTAATGCATTTCATAAATCCAAGATTTCAAGGAATAATCAGTACACAAGTGACTAGCTCTCAAGATACACATATAAACACACAATCCAGGGAGAAAGGAGATTTGTAATTTCCTTTCTTTTGTGTTCCGTATAAGTAGAATGAATCTGTTATAATTGACAGCTTTACAGAGAAAAATGTTAATATGTAAAGCTTGCTTATCCCAAGCAAGCTTATGTATTTACATAACGGCATGAATATACTATATTCAGGAAAGAGCCATAGAGAGGCTTGATATTTGGGCTGCATGAATAAAGTTCTCCTTGAAGTACAATATCTATGATTTATAATTCATTTGCCACCATTTTTGGAATCTCTTGGTTCCTGACTGGGGACTCTTCTATGGTTTTCATCAATGAATTTTGGTTGATTTGTCTCCAGTCTCTCTTCCTTTTCAAATGTCTTAAGAATGCCCGCTTTTGAAATTCATGTTTCTTAATAGGTACCTTCAAAAAAGGGGTCCTAATTTATTTTAAAGGATTCTTACTCTCTGACCCCACAAAAAGGCTCTTATGAAGGTTTACAAAAAACATACCAAGATTAAATATTTTAATCTTATGATCAAAGGGTTTCCACTTCTCTGGAAAGGGCACCTTCCTAAAGAGTCTAAGGCAGAAGCTAGGTTTCAGTGTTTCTGAACCTTATCTGATTAAAACAATCACTTGAGAACACTCACCAAAAACATGTGTTTTGGATTAGCAGAGTGACTCAAGTGGTACAGTGCCTGCCTAGCAAGCTCAAGGCCCTGTGTTCAAACCCCAGTACTGCCAAAAAATTTAAAAAAACAAATAAATGTGCTCTGAGATCTCATTTCTATTCCTCTAATTTAGGAGGTCCATTACTTCTTGCTGAGGAAAAAGAAAAGTCCATCCATGTTTATGCATCTCAGAAATATGATGTTTCAAGGACTAGTTAGGCCCAGGGCTCTGAACTTTTTCATGTGCATGAAGTAGTTAGTGTACAAAATGATGCTTTGCAGATATCTGGGGACACTGCCTCTGAATTCTTGAATAAGGAGCAAGTGGAGAGTCACACAGAGTAACACTTGCCATCCTGCAGGCTGTGCATGCCTTTTGAATTCCAGTGCATGTGGCCTGCAGATCACACATTTAGGCGGAAAACATCCGGCTTTCATAGTAGATGAGGGAAATTAAGGTGCACTTTTAGGGAGTCATTCCACAGTGCTGGACTTGTTGTTGTTGATGAATTTAGAGTCCAAGAGACATCTTTGCTTGTGAATATTGACTCATTGCTTTCTTATGAGCTCAGTCTAGTGCTTAGTCTCAGTAATTTTAGGAGTTTTCTTTTGCATTTATTTTGGAGATGATTTAGTGTAGATTTTAAGGATGTAAGGCTTTGGAGTTGGGGAAATATGATTTCTGGACTCCATCATTATTGTATGATTTTTGATAAGTCATTCAACCTTGCTGGAATTCAGTTTTCCACAAGATGTGCATAGTAGTAAATCACAGAGTGGTTATAAGAATGAAGTGCTGCCATAAAGATGAAGCATTTAGCAAAGTGCTTGACACAAATGAAGCACTCAACCTACCCTTATACTTAGGATATTTGTTTGTGTAGTGTTAAGGCAAATGTAAACTACTAAGCAGTTGTGCGCACTACCTACATTTCACACTTCTACTTGATACAGGTAGATTTCACAATGTAATTGGCTTACCTTTTAGGGATTAGCTAGGCAATTGGTGGATTGTGAATGTCTTGGGTGTCCTCTTCCTTGACTCATTAGCTGAATTTTATTTAGCTTCTGTTTTTCCATCACTTTGCCGGAGTGGTGCAAAAGAGGGGATGGCATGGTCCTCCTTAAGCTCTCCAAGGCAGAGAGATTTGACTAAAAGTCTGTGTCACCCAGAGCAATTGCCAATAACTTCTTAGAAGAGATGATGACCAAATGGGTTTAAAGGTTATAATGGGTTTATAACCTATAAAGGCAGATTATAGAAAGGTGTCATTTCTAGGTACCAGCTACAAAAGAAAGGGGCTGTACATCTTTTAACTTTTCCTTCCTATTCCCTCCAAACAGAAAGTATGAACAAAACCTGGGTCAGGAAGAGTATGGTGCATGCAGAAAATACTAAACTGCAGTCAATTGGAGCAGAAGTCTAAACCATGAAACAGTATCATGCTTTGAGCCCAGCATTGTGCAGGAATTTTGTGTCGGGATAGCAACAGACTAGTGTTACAGAGCCAATCTTAAAAGTTTAGCAAAAGAGTTTATGTTTGATAAGAAGCAACAAAGTTTCGAAAATTCTTAAGCAATGATAAAAACATTAGAAATTTGGTGGAATAGTTTGGAATATGGAGCGATGACAGAGTGGAAGAGACATTTATCTTGCTTTTTTGAGACGGGTCTTCATTATATTGGGCAGGCTGGCCTTAAACTTGCCATCCTCCTGCCTCAGCCTCCTGAGTTCTGGGATTAAAGATGTATATCACTACACTTGGCCAAGGAGGCTTTTTATAAGGATACATAAACAAAGTGATGAGAATCTGAGTTTGGGAATAGAATGGGCTGGGTGTGGTGGCACACACCTGTAAGCACTCAGGAGATGGAAGCGGGAAGATCTTGAGTTGGAAGCCAGCCTGGGCTACATAGTGAGACCATGTCTCAAAAAACAACAACAAAAAGAATGGAGTGATTCCCTAGTTTCCACTTCCTGGGTGCTGAGATTATAGGCATGTACCACTATGTCTGGCTTCTAGACTACATTCTGAAGGAAGGGTTGAAAGAACTTGGTGACAGACTGGCCTTGTCGGATGGAATGTTGGTCACTCACTTGTTCTTTGACAGTGAATGAGTCCCAAGACTTCAAATGGACCATAAATTCCAGGGGCTTAACTAAAGGAAGCAAGATTTTGGGGGAAAATACATGTAGTTTTTAAAGATACAATCTTTTTTTTCTGGCTTGTCATTAGAGTCTTTCCTATACTTACCTCATGGTATTTGTTGGAAGCAGCTATTTCTGTCTTCAACATGATTATTGTTGAAGTATTGTTGATAGTACTTCAACAGTATTATTTCCAAACTAGAAATTTCAGAGTTAGCTTCCTAAGCTAGGACCTTCACTAAGTTATCTTTTCCAATAAAAAGTACATAGAAGAGAAAGAAAAAGTCCACCCTTTGGTGGGCTTCTCTAAAAGCAGAATTTATAGTTGGGTGGACATTAGGATGTCCCATTAACTACTTGAGGATTAGCATTATCTCCAGTTAAAATCTGGCACTCTCATGTAAATTTAAAGCTTCCTTTGTCTCTCCCTCCCTTCTTTACTTTCTTCCTTCCTTCCTTTTGTTTTTCTTTCAAATGTTTAGTTTTTATTAGAAAAAGTCAAGGATACTTGTGTCATACTTGTGTGATATTTGTGTCAGCCCAAGCTGTAGTTGTTAGCATTTTGTTTTTAAAAAATTATTTCAAGTTATTAGAATTTTTCATATCTGTACAAATTAGTCATATGACATTTAGTTTAAAAATTCAGGACCAATATCATTAGTGTCTATTTTAAGTAATACAGTCTGCTTTACAAATATCAGGGTGTGTTGTGTGGCAGTGGGAAAGTACCTGAAACAGCCTCCC